TGCCTTGTGCGCTTGCGCGCAGGCGCGTGTTGTTCGCCACGGTGACGTAAGTGACTGTAGGGGTGGGGACGGCGTTGGATATGTAACGCTCGGAGCCCACCATGTGCTGGCCGCAGCAGCTGTCCAGGTACCAGGTGTTGTAGCGCTTGTTGTCGTCACGTGCGAGCAGCGCCAATCGCGGCGTGACGATATGCGGAGTGTCGAACTTCAAAAATTGCTCGCGCGTGAGCCAATCAAGTGGCGCCACCCGCATATCAGGTACGTGCGGGGGACTCTCAAGCAGCGGGACTGGAAGGTTCCAGTCCTGGTCGTCGTCGTCAGTGTAGTCGCGGCGCGGGCTGAACGGGTTGTTGTTGGTGAACGCGCCAATGGGATGTGGTGCCGGCTCAGGTGAAGGTGAGCGTACGCGGCGACGACGCGACTCGCCTGTCATGGCCATGTTGCTCATGACATTGCGAGCTGGTGCAGCCGATGATGGCTGCTGCTGCTGTTGCTGAACCGCTGGGTTCAGGTTGCGCGCGGGTGGGGGTTGATACCCCTGGGCTGGACGCACGTCGCCTCGTGCGTCTTGTCGGCCGGACCAAGTGCTCGGATTGGACTGGCGAGGGCGAGATCGGTATTTACATCGATCCGCCAAGTGCCCGAAATTTCTGCAGATTTTGCAGTAGAGGCGCCTCAGCCGTCGCTCTTCGTTGTTGTCGGCGTAGAAGGCGAGCCGTTCGCGTTCTCGTCGCGGCGCTGGTCGCTGCTGATCCATATCCCTCTGTTCGACGAGAAGGGCGGCGCAAAGGGCGGCCTCCGAGATGACCCCCTGCTGTCGAAGAAGCGCCTTGCAGGGCCGCCACTCTGGGCCGAGCCCTTGAAGCACGATATTCACGAAAATTTCCTCCGAAATCGAGCTTCCCAGCTTCGCGATTTGGTCGCGAAGGCTTCGACAGCGATTGATGTAACTGTTGGCCTTCTCCCCTGGGGCCATTTTGGTCTCCATTAGTTGCTGGAGCAATCGGCTCGAAGAGACAGAGTCCTTCGGCTGATACACGCCGTTGAGATGGCGCCAAGCGTCGAGGGCTGGAGCAGCCGATGTCTTGTATGAGCGAATGCTCAACTGCTCCGCCGGCGACATGTTCCGCAGGAGCACCCCGTACGCCATCAGCGATTCGTTGTAGTACCTCACCTTGGCGTCGTCGGTGTCCTCAGCAGGCTCCGCGTAGCTCCCGTCGAAGTAATGGAAGATTTGGGCGTTCTGCAGCAAGAGCTCCAATTCGAAGCTCCAGGTATAAAAATCTCTGCCGTCAAAACAGGTACTTGTCTTTATTTTTGATATGCTGAGAAACCTTGATTGAGCGGAGAGAATTGCCTCTTCACTGGGACGGGGAGCTTTGGGGGTTGAGCCGTTGGTGTCGAGGGAGAATGTGTGTGGGGCGGCGTTCTGGCCGGTTGGGGCCGGTTGCGAGGGTTGCGAGGATGTTCCCGCATCGCCGTTCCGCAATGTTTGGAGGCCTTGCTACAGGTTGGTGAGTCGCTGAAGGAGTTGTGCGAGGACTTCGGTGCCGATCGTCGTTGTGTTCTCGCTTGTCGCAGCCGGATTGGGTTGCGCTTCAGCCGTCAGATTAGTCTGACCACCGGATCCTCCGGCCATCCTCGTACGCGAGCGTGTGCCGGACGCCACTTTCCGAATGTCGTAATTTTCGGGAGTGGCAGTGCGAAGGATTCCTGAGCTGCTCTCATACCATGCTGCGATCAGAAGTTGATCGCCACCTAGGATCTACCCAGGAAGGTTCGCACGCAGGAAAGTAATGTTGGTGGGCCCTTGACCTCAATAGCAGAGTGAATGTAAAATGCTTTGAGATGATTGAAACATGCAAATACAGCAAATATAAATATGAGTACAGGGAAGACGAAACGACCTAGCTAGTCATGTACTCTAAGGGGTACATTCCCTTATTCAAATACATTCCCAACCGTGCGGCGCGTACAGTTTCGTAACTGTTCCCGCCAAAACCATCCTGCCTGTGGCTGCCCGATGCCGTCTGCTCCCGACGGTTCAGATGTTCTGTAACCATCTGACGCTTCGATTCAATTCCAACCGTCTGACGCTTCGCGTTCCTTCTCGATAGTGCATGCTTCTCTTGCTGCGGTGAGGAGTGCACTGTGAAAGTTTAAAAGAAAGAAGAGAGAAGAGGGGTTGCACTAGCAAGAATGAGGATACAAATAGCAAACCCTAGAAGGGTTGTACTCGCTATAGAGCACCCCACTACAGGCTAGAGCATAATATTCTGACACACCCCCATAGCCAAAGTGGGGTGTAATCAGCAGAGCAAGCAAAGCAGTACAAGCTCAGGGTGGATCACAATGTCACCACACATTCTGAGCACAAGTTCAAGAAGCAATAGTTTAAAGTTCACAATTATGAGCAAAGCTAGTGGTAGTCACAACGGGCAAGTGAGGAGGAGGAAAGAGACTATGAGAGGAGAGGAGGTAGTGGGCGGCAGCTGAAGCTGCTGGCACACGGCGCAACTGGAGCAACTGGCACACGGGCAACTGGAGCAACTGGCACACTGGCAACTGGAGCAACTGGCACACTGGCAACTGGAGCAACTGGCACACGGGCTACTGGAGTAACTGGCTCCGCGGCTAAAAGTAGCGGCAGACGAGCAACGGACTCACGGACGACTGGAGCAACGGGCTCACGGGCGACTGGCGCAACGGGCTCACGGGCGACTGGCGCAACGGTCTCACGGGCGACTGGAGCTGCTGGCTTCACGGCGGCCACCCCCTTCAACCTCTCCAAACTATCCCACTCCCCCTGACACACACCCGCTGCTACACCGCTAGCTCCACTCCCCCTTCACCCCCCCTTAGTACCACTCCAACGGCTCCAACAAGTCCACCCCCCCTCAGCGGCAGCTGCAGCACAGGGAGACGGAGGAGGAGGAGGAGCAGGGAACGGCACACAGTGGCTTCACCCCCATACCCCTCACCCCCAAACCCTAATTCAGGAGAACGGGCTGTAGGAGGGGTGGGGCGCCAGTAAAAGCACGGGGGACAGCGGGGAGGGCAGGGGCAGCGAGGAAAGGGCCGCCCACGGGCCTGGCACAGCCGCCCGAACCGCGCGCAGGCGGCCCGAGCCGCGCGCGGGCCTGGCGCAGCCCGTACGGGCCGCGCGCGGGCCTGGCGCAGCCCGTACGGGCCGCGCGCTGGCCTGGCGCAGCCCGTACAGGCCGCGTCCGGGCCTGGCGCAGCCCTGACGGGCCGCGCGCAGCCTGTACGGGCCGCGCGCAGGCCACGACGGGCGACGGGGGGCGACGCGCGGGTCCCCGTCGCCCGTCGCAGCGCCTCCCGAGGGCGACGCGCCGAGTGACGGGGCAGAAGCCCGCCGCGCGCCTCGGGGCGCACAGCGGGCAGAGAACCGCCGCGCGCCACGGGGCGCACGGCGGGCAGAAAACCGCCGCGCGCCTCGGGGCGCACGGCGGGAAGAAAAACTGCCGCACGCCACGGGGCGTGCGGCACAGAGGGTAGCAGTGGAAGTTGCAGCGGAAGCAACGAGGTGGTGAGCCCACCCACAGGATCGATCCAAGGGGATCGACCTGCTCTGATAGCATGTGAAAGTTTAAAAGAAAGAAGAGAGAAGAGGGGTTGCACTAGCAAGAATGAGGATACAAATAGCAAACCCTAGAAGGGTTGTACTCGCTATAGAGCACCCCACTACAGGCTAGAGCATAATATTCTGACATGCACATCAATACTAAGATATTACTATTCGTAACATTACCAATATGCTGTATTGTATGACGTTGAATGAGTGGCATCGCAATGAATCCCAGTTGAGAAATAGAGCTGGCAACTATCATTTTTGGGTTGCATACCGTCTTCTGTGTACTATTAAATAAACTGTGAAAATATTCTGCACTCCTAATAGTAGCAAATGAAGCACGCAGTATAGAGTATCAAAACGAAAGGCGGATTGACACGAAAGGTCGTGTATGGTTACGAGACATCTGGACCTTCGCAGCAAATAGCAGATGCAGTCGAGGATTTCGCTGAAACAGTTCGTAACCGTCTGGAGTCGCACGGTCGAATTTCGCTGCAAGAAGGGAATGTACCCCTTAGAGTATTTAGCTAGTCTATGTTGTTTCGTATTCCCCTGTACTCTTATTTATACGAATGCATTTGCATGTTTTTATTATTTCAGTCATTTTTCATCCACTCTGACCTGAGGTCGATCCCGCTGCAACACACTGTGCGAATCTTCTTGAGTAGATGCTAGGGACGATCAACTTCTGATCACAACACTATTGTCCAATACTTTATGAGATCAGGTTTTATGGGGATCTTGCATGAGACGAACACAACCGACGTTATCGTATCCCATGACTTGGTGTACCCTTGGAGGGAATGCTGGGTCTGGTGGTTCCCTGACGCTGGGAATGCTGGTGGTGTCAGGTTGCTCTGGTGTGGGAGATTTGCGCGGGCCTTGGCGGGTCGCTGCGCGTCTCCAAATGGGCTTGCGCCACGCGAGCAGCGATTCGCGATGAGGTTTCCAGGTCTCCAGCCCCCAGGCGAGTGTCGCAGCGTGGCCATGTCTGTCGCCACAGTTACCAAACAAAACAGTCGCCTGCAACGTTCACGAACAACCTTTATTGCTGCCGTGGCTCCCAATCTAGGATACCATCTGACCTCCCAGTTTTAGCACAACCAGCTAACCTCTCAACCCTGCAGTCTAGATTTGTTCCCATTCTTCCTTCACAGATCTGGTTCTCTCTGTCATCCTCGCAGCCATGGGGCTCACTTTTGGGAAGCTTTTTAATCGGTTTTTTGGAAAGCGTGATATGCGCATCCTGATGGTTGGGCTTGACGCTGCTGGTAAAACCACTATTTTGTATAAGCTGAAGCTGGGAGAAATCGTGACAACCATTCCTACTATCGGTATGCCCTAGACTTATCCTGTCTGCGTGATTCTACAGCACACTATGTGCAGTGACCTCGCCGACCCTGTTTTCATGGTCTGGTCCGTTAAATATGTGTTTTTTGTATCAGGGTTCAACGTGGAAACTGTGGAGTACAAGAACATCAGCTTCACCGTGTGGGATGTCGGAGGTCAGGACAAGGTTCGTGCCTGTTCCATTTGTGTAACCTGATTGTTGAATAGCACTCTTGGATGTCGCTAACAGCTCGATATGGTATTTTTGCAGATTCGCCCTCTCTGGAGGCACTATTTCCAAAACACGCAGGGTCTTATCTTCGTTGTTGACAGCAACGACAGGGATCGTGTGATGGAAGCTCGCGACGAGCTGCATAGAATGCTTAACGAGGTCAGTTCACGCATTTCTTCGTCAACGACGTTACTTTTAAATTCTTACGATCCTTCGTCTTAACCCCGTTCCGTTGATCCTTCTTTGATGTGGCTCAGGACGAATTGAGGGACGCGGTGTTGCTGGTCTTCGCGAACAAACAGGACCTTCCCAACGCCATGAATGCTGCGGAAATCACTGATAAGCTAGGCCTACACTCGTTGCGCCAGCGGCAGTGGTGAGTAACTTATTGCCACACGTTTTGGAAGAGTGTGCGCATAGTATGACTAGTAAACTCTCGTTCCTTATGGCGTGCTGCTAATGTCTTGTTACAGGTACATTCAGAGCACTTGCGCTACATCTGGTGAAGGTCTATACGAAGGACTGGACTGGCTCTCTAACAACATCTCGTCCAAGGCAAGACTATCGCTACTTCCCCCTCAACAAGCCTCCCTCATTCTCTCGACCTACTCTCCCTCCCTCCCTCCCCCTCTTATGCACACCCCCTAAGACGCACAAATTCATTTTCCGTCCATCCATGTCTGCCTTCTGGCAATTCCCCTTCCACACCATCTTCCACGTTCCTACGTTAGCTGTCTGTGATTCATGTCATTTTTGCTGTATGAGCAATCTCGCTGCGCATGCAACCTGGGTCTTTTTCTGGCGTGGTTTCAGATGCATCCATTTTTTTTGGTTGCCACTGCTGCAGGACTGATTCCATTTCTTTTGGTTGCCACTGCGGACTGAGCATTGGAATGTCTTCCCCAAGCTGGAGAGTCCGAGATACAGACCGTTTGCTGAACTTTCCTGTAGCGCACTGAAGATATTTAGTGTGAAGTTCTTTGTAGTGATCGTTATATCAACAATTATACGCAATCAGGAAGAAGTGGATAAGCATAGACACTCAGATGTAATGTGTTTACAAATAGTCCTATTGATTTTTATCTTGCATTTTGAACTAGGGAAGTGTAACAGCCCTTAAAACCGGAGTCTCAAGTATCCCGAAGTTGCCTCATCCTTCCTACTTTTGGTTGGGTCACAAAGTCCAACCAAGCTTCCTACCTTTGGTTTTGTCACTAAGTCCAACCAACCTTCCTACCTTTGAAACCTGTGGACCCTGGGTTTTAATAATTCTCCTGGGTTTATGCCCACGTCACCCGGCGACGGGCCTTGTGACGTGAAGCCTTTGCCAGCATTTCCAGTTCAAGCGGCTCTTCTTCCTCCACCTCCACGTGGTACGTGGCGCAGCAGCCGAACACACAGGTGGACATCTGCGCACGAGCAGGTAAACGGGTAGTGAACTTCTGCTTGTGACGGCAAGAGAGATCCGGAAGGTTAGCAAAAGGGACAATCCTTACGAGGATGATGGTGAAGGCGAGGAGAAGATACGCCACTTTCATCCACTCGGTCTTCACATACTCCGCCACACCAGCCCTGCTCAGAGGCACACACAATGGCATTCAACCGCCCATTCACTTACACTACAAGGTAGAGAGAGTAAGGATGCATGGCAAGTACTCATGCGCACTGTTCCGCGCTGCAGAGGCGGCGGGTGCTGCCATACCTGCACGAATCGCAGGCGAAGCACATGGTGGAGTTGACGGTGCTGTACTTGGTGCAGTCGGGGTTGTCGCTGTGCGGGGGGCCTTCCTGCATGAAGATGGTCGCCGTCATCTGCCGGTACCCGCACCTGCAACCCACGTGCGCGCGCAGGGGAGACAAGGGACGGTACAGTACCACAGGGCGGAGGTTTGGCGCGGGAGAGACGGAAGGAGTGCCGCGAAGGCAGGACGTGAGGTGAGGCTGCTCGTGACGCGCCCAATGGCCCGCAGGTGCGACTGCTGTGCACACGACATGGTTTGGGCTGGGCTGCACGCGACACTCGATTTCTTCTGCAGCGGGCGGACATGCGAGAGTGCGAGCCACGCACACGGGCGATACGTGCTGTGCGGACTTGTCGCCGTAGCGGGTGCTGGTGAGCGGAAATAGCGCGGCAACGCGTCAGAGCACGGCACTTACTCGATGGGCGGGCGGCAGCAGCCGGACTCGGTGGGGGAGAGCTGGGCAGCGTGGTACTGGGAGAGGTCCTGGCAGATGGGCGGGGAGAAAGCGGGGGGAGCAAGGAGGGGCATTCGGCATGATTGGGTGGGAAGGCGTGTCTGTCCGTGCTGGTGTTAGCAAGGGTGGCGGCACGAGGGGTGGTGTGATCGAGCGTAGTGAGGCGGCGCGTGCGCGTGCGTGTGCGCGCGGCACTGACCGGGTAGCGCAGGTTGAGCTGCTGGCAGTAGGCGGCGTCCACCATGCACGCCTGCACGCGCTCCCACGTCCCCGAGTTGCGCAGCTGCCGCAGCACCGCCATCAAGGGGGGCGCAGGAAATGAGAGTGGGGAGGGGTAGGGGAAAGGAGGGGCTTTGAGAGACTGGGCGAGAGCGAGGAGACGAGACCAGACAGGGCAGGGAAGAGCAAGGAACTGTGGAAACACGAAGCTTGCAGGTGGAAAATGGTGGCATTGAGGGCAGAATGTATAAGAACGTCGTCCAAGGCGATGCACAAGACGGGAAGGTGAAGAGGGGCATGGGAGGGCAGGAGCGTACCGTAGACTGCATCCACTTGGAATAGCTGTCCAGGTAGTACTGCTGGAACCTGGGGGGTGAGGCGCGAGGGGGGAGTGGAAAGGGGGAGTTGGGAAGGGGTTGTAGAGCGGGAGCGCGGGGTGTTGGGGCGTGGGTGGGCAGGGGAGAGAAAAAACACCCCGCACAGCACGTGCATCAGGCGGGGAGGCGCATTACTACCAGCGAATAGTGGAATGGAACTAGAGGAAGAGCGGGAGTGAGGTGAGGGTGAGTGTTAAGCGGGGCAGGCCGCAGAGCTCACTCAAGGCCGTTGACGGGCGTGCCGTGCCCGGGCTCGCTGACTGTGAACCTGCGTACAGACACGCGCGGAGCGAGACGAGGGGCGGAAGGAACGTAAGAAAAAGGGGATTGAGCGGAAGCGGGAGTCGTGGGTAGCACCAGCGTACACGAGAGGTAAGGAAATGGTGTGCACGAGGAATGACGTGCTGTGGTGAATAAAGAGTGGTTTGACATTGAGGAGCACAGGAGCGAGGAAAGGAGCGAGGGAGGTGGGGGACGAGGTCGGTGGCGGTGCGTACGAGAAGATGGTGAAGGCGAGGAAGGCGAGCGTGATGACGGATAGAAGCACCATGTACTGCCGCGCACACACGCACGCACACACGCACGCACGCATGCACCGGTGCAGGGATGCACATACACGCACATAGGAAACGGTCGGTTATGAGGCAAGCGAACGAGCAGTGCAGGGAAAGACGAAAGAGCGAGGTTAGCGCGCGGGGCAGGCGGGGAAAGGGAGAGACGAGGGTTCGAGCGTGTGGAGATTGACAAGGCGGAGCCGAGATTGTGCGTATGGAGTGCCACAGGAGCACGAAGTCAATACGAAACGGCAAGTCAGGCGACGTCAATGCACGAAGGGGTGTGGTGAAGGGGAGAGGGGAGGCGGGGAGGGTGCGGGAGAGGAGGGACGTACGATCCAGAGGAGGAACGACGACGTGCATGCCGTGCCTAGCAGGCCCAGCAGCGATCTGCCAGCGCGGGGCGTTGAAAGGAGGGGGCGGGCGGGGGGAGGGGAAGAGGGGGATGAGGTGTGCGGGACGCTGTGGTAGTTGGAACGAGAAAGCACTGGGTCGATACGACTGACTACTGGACGGGAGGGGGAAACATGAGGCGAAACAAGGGGGAGCGGGGGTCAGGAGACCCGTAGGGTGAAGGTGTCCGGGTGAAAGGGAGAGGTCCCAGGGGCGGGAGGCGAGGAGCGCACACGACGGTGACGAGGGAACCGAGCACGATGAGCGGCGTCTGGATGAACGCGAGACACGCCGTGGGCTGCTTCGAGTACAGCACGCCTGCCGTCACCAGCAGCACCACTCCCAACACCTGCGCACCGTTCCGAGGACGACAGAAGGCAAAGAATGTCGGGAGAGGGGAGATAGATGAAACATGGACAATGTGAGTTGGAGGTGGAGAGGATTGATCCGAGATGGATGAGCGGCGGAGACAAGCGCCGAACCGAAAGGCCTGGTCGAGCCGAAGACGAGCAGCGTGGGAGGGCGACGCGGTGAGGGCTGTTAATGATCGACATACGAGGCGCAAGCAGGATGATTGGGTGGGTTTCGTCGGGTGAGGGACGAGGAAGAAGAAAAGTGGGAGGCAGCAGGATGCTCGAGAGGTGGCAGAGCTTTAGTGTCGCACCAGCGTGAGGACATTGATCCATTTGACGAAGACCGTACTGCACCGATACGCCATGCTTCTTGCAGCGGCAGTGTCTGTTCTCGTGCTGTGGGCTGTATTCTTCCTGAACTAGGTAAACGGATTTGGAGTTTTAGGGGCAAAGCGCAGCTGGAATGTAGCGACTTACGTTTTTTTTTGGGGTTGGTGCTAGGGTGGTTTAGTGAGCTAGTGGGGGGAATGCGTTCATAGTTGGGACAGGAGGCTCGGAGGGCAAGGGCTTGTTGCAGGGTAGAGTTGGACGGGTGGATGCCTGCTCGCCCCCTGGCTGTCATCGCTTTGAGCGGACGCAGCGCACATTCGACAGTCAAGGGGCAGTGTCGAGCCGCACCCGTTTCCAGTCACGTTGACGCAATTCGAGCTTCATACGCTAGCCACGTACCGCCAAGAAGCGAGGTGCGTGTTTCCAGTAAGAAAACAGAGAGAATGGTTATACCGTACGAATATTACATCTTCTATACCATGTCTTGGAGAGTGTAAGGAATTTTCTCGGATTCCTTACTGGGTCACACTGTACGCGTACAACCTCGGTTTTCGGAAAACCAGGCTCGGTCCGCCGACCTCGCCTTCCGAACCACCACCGCGTCGCCTTCGGGTTTTCCAACCCCGAACCTGCACCCAACCATCTCGCGACCCCACGACCTCGGCCTAGCTAGCATTGCTATATTAGTTCTAGGCCTCGTTGTTCACTCAGACATTGGAATCACGTCCGCGTTATTGAATTCTGCGCACTCTTCCTTTCACAACTCATAACAAAGAGTATGCCATAACGATAGGGTTTCCAACATAGATGTGGTTTCACAGCCACATGCACCAAGACAGCTAATGACATAATGTACAGTCACGCAAGAAGATCAATCTCTTTTTTAAGCCCGTGGCGAAAATTGCGGGCCGCGCGGGTCAAGCTTCTAGAACTTGACGAACTAGTGTTTGCAAGGTTTGAAAAAAAGCCAGCCTGCAATTTGGGACTTTTGGGAACTGAACCAACCCCCAGGGCGAAATACGAGGGCGGGCTGGGTTTGGCGAAAAAAACGAAATAAGCGAATTCGGAATCTTCCGCCAAAACCCAGACCACCAAAACCCCCTCGCGTCAACCTTTTAAAAGTTGTGCAATTTGGGCTGCCGGCTTTAATTGTTACGGGTGCAATGGAACGAGGTAGCGAAGATTGCACTATATGGGTCAAAAGTACAAAGTATGAGCGAAGGCATGAGCAAATACTTATGTGCGAAAACATGCAACGGTTACGCGGTGTGTGCGAGCTAGTTATTGCTAGGCTGGCATCGAGGTTCGGGCTAGCCCCGAAGCGTAGGCCGACTCGGCCAGGCCAGCGGTGCATGTTTTGGTGAAACAGTGCGCGCGAAGTTGGCGAAGCCCCATTAGCAGTAACGGGCGAACAACGGCTTCTGCTGTACG